GAGTTAATTTTAGTGTAAGGTGTCAGGAAGGGGTCCAGTTTCTGCTTCCTACACATGGCTAGCCAGTTTTCCCAACACCATTTGTTAAACAGGGAATCCTTTCCCCCTTGCTTGTTTTTGTCAGATTTATCAAAGATTGTATAGTTGTAGATATGTTGTGTTGCCTCCGGTGCCTCTGTTTTGTTCCATTGGTCTATATCTCTGTTTTGGTACCAGTACCATGCTGTTTTGATTACTGTAGCCTTGTAGTATAGTTTGAAATCCGGTAGTGTGATGCCCCCCGCTGTGTTCTTTTTGCTTAGAATTGACTTGGCTATGCAAGCTCTCTTTTGGTTCCATATGAAGTTCATGGTGTTTTTTTCCAGTTCTGTGAAGAAAGTCAGTGGTAGCTTGATGGGGATAGCGTTGATTCTGTAAATTACTTTGGGCAGTATAGCCATTTTCACGATATTAATTCTATCTAACCATGAACATGGAATGTTTCTTTATCTGTTTGTGTCTTCTCTGATTTCGTTGAGCAGTGGTTTGTAGTTCTCCTTGAAGAGGTCCCTTATGTTCCTTGTGAGTTGTATTCCAAGGTATTTTATTCTTTTTGTAGTGATTGTGAATGGCAGTTTGTTCTTGATTTGGCTTTCTTTAAGTCTGTTATTGGTGTAGACGAATACTTGTGATTTTTGCACATTGATTTTATATCCTGAGACTTTGCTGAAGTTGCTTATCAATTTCAGGAGTTTTTGGGCTGAGGCGATGGGGTCTTCTAGGTATACTATCATGTCGTCTGCAAATAGAGACAATTTGTCTTCCACCTTTCCTATTTGAATATGCTTTATTTCTTTTTCTTGCCTGATTGTTCTGGCTAGAACTTCCAGAACTATATTGAATAGGAGTGGTGAAAGAGGGCATCCTTGTCTAGTGACAGATTTCAAAGGGAATGCTTCCAGTTTTTGCCCATTCAGTATGATATTGGCTGTTGGTTTGTCATAAATAGCTTTTATTACTTTGAGATACGTTCCATCGATACTGAGTTTATTGAGGGTTTTTAGCATAAAGGGCTGTTGAATTTTGTCAAATGCCTTCTCTGTGTCAATTGAGATAATCATGTGGTTTTTGTTTTTGGTTCTGTTTATGTGGTGAATTACGTTTATAGACTTGCGTATGTTGAACCAGCCTTGCATCCCCGGGATGAATCCTACTTGATCATGGTGAATAAGTTTTTTGATTTGTTGTTGCATTCGGCTTGCCAATATTTTATTGAAGATTTTTGCATCTATGTTCATCATGGATATTGGCCTGAAGTTTTCTTTTCTCGTTGGGTCTCTGCTGGGTTTTGGTATCAGGATGATGTTGGTCTCGTAAAATGATTTGGGAAGTATTCCCTCTTTTTGGATTGTTTGAAATAGTTTTAGAAGCAATGGTACCAGCTCCTCTTTGTGTGTCTGGTAGAATTCGGCTGTGAACCCGTCTGGACCTGGGCTTTTTTTGTGTGGTAGGCTCTTAATTGCTGCCTCGACTTCTGACCTTGTTATTGGTCTATTCATAGTTTCAGCTTCCTCCTGGTTTAGGCTTGGGAGGACACAGGAGTCCAGGAATTTATCCATTTCTTCCAGGTTTACTAGTTTATGTGCATAGAGTTGTTTGTAATATTCTCTGATGATGGTTTGAATTTCTGTGGAATCTGTGGTGATTTCCCCTTTATCATTTTTTATTGCATCTATTTGGTTGTTCTCTCTTTTATTTTTAATCAATCTGGCTAGTGGTCTGTCTATTTTGTTGATCTTTTCAAAAAACCAGCTCTTGGATTTATTGATTTTTTGAAGGGTTTTTCGTATCTCAATCTCCTTCAGTTCAGCTCTGATCTTAGTTATTTCTTGTCTTCTGCTGGGTTTTGAGTTTTTTTGATCTTGCTCCTCTAGCTCTTTCAATTTTGACGATAGGGTGTCAATTTTGGATCTCTCCATTCTCCTCATATGGGCACTTATTGCTATATACTTTCCTCTAGACACTGCTTTAAATGTGTCGCAGAGGTTCTGGCATGTTGTGTCTTTCTTCTCATTGGTTTTGAAGAACTTCTTTATTTCTGACTTCATTTCATTGTTTACCCAGTCAACATTCAACAGCCAGTTGTTCAGTTTCCATGAAGCTGTGCGGTTCTGGGTTGGTTTCTGTATTCTGAGTTCTAACTTGATTGCACTATGGTCTGAGAGGCTGTTTGTTATGATTTCAGTTGTTTTGCATTTGTTGAGCAGTGCTTTACTTTCGATTATGTGGTCAATTTTTGAGTAGGTGTGATGTGGTGCTGAGAAGAATGTATATTCTGTGGATTTGGGGTGGAGAGTTCTGTAAATGTCTATCAGGTTTGCTTGCTCCAGGTCTGAGTTCAAGCCCTGGATATCCTTGTTGATTTTCTGTCTGGTTGATCTGTCTAATATTGACAGTGGAGTGTTAAAGTCTCCCACTATTATTGTGTGGGAGTCTAAGTCTCTTTGTAAGTCATTAAGAACTTGCCTTATGTATCTGGGTGCTCCTGCATTGGGTCCATATATGTTTAGGATTGTTAGCTCTTCTTGTTTTATCAATCCTTTTACCAGTATGTAATGCCGTTCTTTGTCTCTTTTGATCTTTGTTGCTTTAAAGTCTATTTTATCAGAGATGAGAATTGCAACTCCTGCTTTTGTTTGCTCTCCATTTGCTTGGTAAATCTTCCTCCATCCCTTTATTTTGAGCCTTTGTGTATCCTTGAATGTGAGATGGGTTTCCTGGATACAGCATACTGATGGGTTTTGGATTTTTATCTAGTTTGCCAGTCTGTGTCTTTTGATTGGTGCATTTAGTCCATTTACATTTAGGGTTAATATTGTTATGTGTGAATTTGATACTGCCATTTTGATGCTAAGTGGCTGTTTTTCCTGTTAGTTGTTGTAGAATCTTCATTATGTTGATGCTCTTTAACTTTTAGTGTGATTTTGGAATGGCTGGTACTGGTTGTTCCTTTCTATGTGTAGTGCCTCTTTTAGGAGCTCTTGTAAAGCTGGCCTGGTGGTGACAAAATCTCTGAGTACTTGCTTGTTCGCAAAGGATTTTATTTTTCCTTCACTTCTGAAGCTCAGTTTGGCTGGATATGAAATTCTGGGTTGAAAGTTCTTTTCTTTAAGAATGTTGAATATTGGCCCCCACTCTCTTCTGGCTTGGAGTGTTTCTGCCGAGAGATCTGCTGTGAGTCTGATGGGCTTCCCTTTGTGGGTAACTCGACCTTTCTCTCTGGCTGCCCTTAGTATTTTCTCCTTTATTTCAACCTTGTTGAATCTGATGATTATGTGTCTTGGGGTTGCTCTTCTTGCAGAATTTCTTTGTGGTGTTCTCTGTATTTCCTGCATTTGAGTGTTGGCCTGTCTTGCTAGGTGGGGGAAGTTTTCCTGGATGATGTCCTGAAGAGTATTTTCCAGCTTGGATTCATTCTCTTCGTCCCCTTCTGGTACACCTATCAAACGTAGATTAGGTCTTTTCACATAGTCCCACATTTCTTGGAGACTTTGTTCATTCCTTTTTGCGCTTTTTTCTCTAATCTTGGTTTCTCATTTTATTTCATTGGATTGGTCTTCGACTTCAGATATTCTTTCTTCTGCTTGGTCAATTCTGCTATTGAAACTTGTGCATCCTTCGCGAAGTTCTCGTATTGTGTTTTTCAGCTCCTTTAATTCATTCATATTCCTCTCTAAGTTATCCATTCTTGTTATCATTTCCTCATATCTTTTTTCAAGTTCCTTAGTTTCTTTGCATTGATTTAATACATGTTCTTTTAGCTCACAAAAGTTTCTCATTATCCACCTTCTGAAGTCTAATTCCGTCATTTCATCACAGTCATTCTCTGTCCAGCTTTGCTCCCTTGCTGGTGAGGAGTTTTGGTCCTTTCTAGGAGGTGAGGTGTTCTGGTTTCGGGTGTTTTCCTCCTTTTGTTGCTGGTTTCTTCCCATCTTTGTGGGTTTATCCGCTTGTCGTCTGCGTAGTTGCTGACTTTTCGATTGGGTCTCTGAGTGTACACCCAGATTGTTGATGATGAAGTATTTCTGTTACTTGGTTTTCCTTCTACCAGCCTAGCCCCTTCACTGTATGACTTCTGAGGTCCACTCCAGGCCCTGCTTGTCTTGGGTGCACCTCTATCAGCTTTGGCACAGTGAGGGATGCTACCCATTTCTTTTTCTGCTATCTTTGTCCCAGGATGATGCCTGCCAAATGTCAGTCTTTTGGATATAGAGGGGTCAGGGAGCTGCTTGAGGAGACAGTCTGTACTTTTTTGGAGCTCAATTGCTGAGCTGTGAGCTCTGTTGTTCATTCAGGGCTGTTAGGCTGCTATGTTTGATTCTGCTGCAACAGAGCTCATTTAAAAAAACCCTTTTTTTCTCAAATGCTCTCTGTTGGGGGGTTTGGGCTTTATTTTTCAATGTCCGATGAGGTGTCCTGCCCAGCTGGAAGGCAGACTAGCCACTGTTTGGCTGCCGAGGCTCCGCCCTGCTGTTGTGTGATTCGCCCTGTTCCTGCAGGCTCTGCTGTGGTCTCCACCATGCCCTGCGGCAGAGTCTCTTCATTGTAGCATGTTGCCTCAGCAACGGCAGGCTGCATCAGCAGTGGGCGTGTATCTCAGTAGGGATGGGTTGCCTCGGCAACGGCTGGCTGCGTCAGCAGTGGGCATGTATCTCAGTTGGGGCGGGTTGCCTCCATAGTGGTGGACGTCCCTCCCCCACAGAGCATCTCAGACCGTCTGCTCGGGATAGTTTGAAATCACGGTTTTGTTCGTCCCACTGGGTGTCCCAAACGATCTGTCCCTGCAATCCCCTGGGCTGGCCTACTGTCCAAGTCTCGTTCAGTCTCAAGTCCAGCCCTCTCAAGTCTCAGGTTGCCGGTTCAACAGGGCACCTGGACAAGCACGCCCTGTGGGGATTGCTGGGTAGGGCCGGCTGCCACCGCCCCGGCTGCCAGCCTCGCCAGGCAGACCTACTGCCTTGCATCCCGTGTCTTTTTTATACTTGGGAGTTTCCCCGTTCTGTGGGCAACAAAGATCAGTCTGGAAATGCAGCTCCGACTCATCATTTGTGGATTCAGTGAGAGCTCCAATCCTGGGTTGTTCTCACAGCGCCATCTTCAGTCCTCCCCCTACAATTTTAATTTTTGAGGATATCAAATTGTATTTATATAGTCCCATCTTAATAGTTTACTTTCAATGTGCAATGAGCATATAGTCACTTTTTTTAAAAGAAATAACAGAGCACAGTCCTATTATATATAATTTTGTAATTATATAATTTTGATATATAATTATATAATTTTGATAAAGAATTTTGTAATTCTAGCTCAAAGATAGATCATGGTTTTGATTTTGTCTTGCCTTTGAGAAGAGTGGGTAATGTTTGAATACAGATTTTAATTACTAGAGTTGGTTTTAGTTGTCGGGTTCTCAATACGATTACCTTCATGTCACTCAGTATTTTTCTTCATGTCACTACTTATTTTTAGAAATAACAGCATAGATACATAGTACTTAATAACAAAAGACAAGAAGCATTACTTTTTTCATCTTTAATTCTTGGAAATATACCTTCTTTAATAATTTTGATCTATTGGTTATTCTGCAACATTTTACATGACTTTATTTCTATTAATGGATTAGTCTATTAGTGGATAAATTAAAAACTTAAAAAATTATGCATCTTATCTTGACAAAAAGCTTTTCTTTTCTATACAACTTATTGCTTTTATTTCTTTTCATTTTTTTGAGAGCAATTAGAATTTTTTTCTTTTTAAGTATAACATTTTCATTATTTTAATGTGATATATTTGCTCTTCCCACTCTATAATCCTTATGCATTATCTCATTTTTAATCATTTCATATTATTTAAAATCCTACAAATATATTTAGTATAGTATCCAGAATTCACTTTATTTTGCTGAGTATTCTCAGGTTAATTTATTTTAGATTTTGACATAAAAAATTTTGTTCATCAATGTAGATGTGTTTCTACTTATTTAGTGGGACAGAATCCATCAAATTCAAGTGCATTTATCATTTATATTCTTATTCATGTATAGAAATATTCATTAATCAAGTTTGCTGTATATACCAAATACTGTTTTAAAGACTTAAAATAAATTGTTCTGTATCTAAATATATAATGAGTGGAAGATAAACTTTCTTTGATGATTTATAACAGGGGTGGTTAAATTTTTCTGTAAATCCAGGTAACAACTGTTTCAAGCTTTATGGACAAAAGGAAAAATTGGGGATATTGTATAGATTTTCATATATTTAGAGAAAGTATTTTCATTTTTTATTGACAAAATTAAAAATATAGTATTTGAGTATAATTTTTGGTCATATTAGTTGACTAATAAAGAGACTTAAATTCTTTTTTGGAGGCATGATATTTTTTATAAATAATGTTCAAAGTTAGTGTTCCCTATCATTAAATTGGTTGCAAATGTTCATTTATGAAAAGCATTTTTTTATTAAAAAAAAAAAGCTTGAGAGTTATACAAACTGAGACAGTAAACCAGATGTGATCTATGGGCTATCGCTTGCCACTGCCTGAGTTAAAGGATGGTTCAACAAAATGTGAACATTTTAAAAATAGTTGAGGATGTTGGAAAATTTTAGTTTTAGTTATGCAACTTAATGAAATATAACAGTAATGAAACCCAATACTATGGCTATAGACACATCTAAAAAATTGTGCTCTAAATATTGTACTTTTTATAAACTTCATGCTTGATTACCTCTGCAGTAAGTCAGAAGTGATTGTAGGCAAATGAGAGAGGAATGGTCTGCAGATGAATTATGATGATGCTACTACCTAGTTTTCCCTCAAGATTAAGAGCTGTTCTGCCAATTCTCTGACTCCTTCTCATGATTCTAAACACTTTTAAAACCACTACACAGAGAGAAAATTATTGGCAACATTTCATCCCATTTTTCTAGAGAAATAGGAAAAATAATATAGAGAGACTCTCATGATGTGGATCACCTATGTCACCCATCAATGTAATGAGCTGCAAGGAGCCCTCACCTCAAAACTTTCTATCTGCTTAGCTGGGAATATGACTACTACACAAAGCTTCACCTCTGGCCACATGATGAAAATCAAGTCTCTCTCTTCCCTGCTAATTTAAAGAGTATTACCAATCTTTAAGAGAAATCAAGGCAATGCAGGGTTAAGCTTCTTTTATTCCTTGTTTTATGCCAGTCTATTAGCTGAGATATGTCATTATTACTAAGATTTTTTGCTTTTGACCTACAGATTTGGCTTCAATATATTGTCCTTCAAATCTGAGGCTGACCTCAGTAATCTGGCCAGCTCCTATTTTCTCTAAGGCCAGTGTGCTTCTCTCAGGATCAGAGGCTGTCTATGAGCCTCAGGCTTGAAAACAAGGCACTGCTGACTACTTTGGACCTTGGACACTGCATTCTGGCCTGTCTTCCTGAACCTCCACAGTCTGGCCAACATCAGAATCTCGCTACTGCAGCACCTTGCTAGAGCTCCAAAATGATGCCCCTCAAATGCCTATCTATCCTCTGGGACCAGTAAATGAGCAAGTTTTCTCTAATAAAACAATTCAGAAAACTATAGTAAAAAAACATTGTTACACACACACACACACACACACACACATCTATGTTATATATATAAAGCATTGATATATATATAACATTGTTACATATATAGTGTATATATGTAAATGATTATATACATATATATGTGTGTATATATGTATATATGTGTGTGTGTAACAATGCTTTTTTATTAATTATATACATATATGTGTATATATATACACACATATATATGTATATAATCATTTACATATATACACTATATATGTAACAATGTTATATATATATCAGTGCTTTATATATATAACATAGATGTGTGTGTGTGTGTGTGTGTGTGTGTTGTGATGTCGTTTCCATTTTTGAGGTTGAAATGCCCTTTAATTTGTGAAATAATGTTGGTATTAGGTGTTTAATATTTAAGTCTTTAGTTGAAAAAGTAAGTTGAAAATCATGTTTGCCTAAAGTTTTACGATTTTACTAGAGCATAAAATCCCGAAGTCATAGAAAGGGAGAAGGACAGTTCTGGATAATTACAGTTAGCTCATTATAGTTCTCACAGACATGGATGATGGCTGGTCCACTTCCACTGGTTGCTAATTATTCTGCTAATTGAGTCCCAAGTCCATTTGTAAGACTGCACTTTGTCCCATAGCCTGAAGAATGCACCATTTCCAAGGATGGCTGTTTGATAAGGAGTTACTTTCCATATTTTACCAATCTAGTTACTGATGACTCAAGACTTAAGTGACTTGCTTCAAGTGACAGGACTACGTGGTCAATCAATGCCAAGGTGGGGGCTGACATGAATGGTAGCAATTCAGTAAGTGCCTACAAATCAGAGTGGCTGAATCTATTTATCACATCCAATTCTGTTATAGGAAATAGGCTTGATGAAATACAATAACTTAATCCACCTAGAAACAACTTACCCTATCCATCAAGCAAGCAAGACGTCACCTTCATATTTTTTATTTCAAAATAAATTCCTCATAGAAACTTTTTGTATTTGCCTAAACATCTCTTCATGTTTTATTTTCCTATAAACTTGTGGTGGTCCTCATTTAGTCAAGTTGAAACAATATTAGGATTCCATTCACCAAGTATGAACATGATATATACGTTAATATGCATTTACATGTATTTTTTATTCAGTACACATTTTTATTATTAGCACAATAAGTGTAATATTTACCCTTGCAATTATGTTTTATTGTTATGTAGGTAACTGAAAACAATTTTTACTGTCTGTATTTTAGAATAATCTTTCTACTACATTTTCCCACAGATGCAAATGCCGTTACATAAGCCTCATCTTAGATGTATATTATGCAATGGGGTCACTATTCAAGAGCTGAAAGTACCTCATAGATGAATATAAATTTTAGATTAAAAATGGTTTAGGAAGTGCCAACACTTTCAATTCCCCAAATGCTTCAGATTAATCATGATCAAGTCCATAGTGGGAGACTGAAGGACAATTGCAAGAATGTTGCTTAGCTACTTGGAGAGAATTCATTACCTCAGACATTATTTGACATAAAAACAGATGTACCTCTGTCACTATTTTGACCTCTCCAACAAGATGAACAACTAGGCTGATACACTTATTGATTAGAGCAAAACCCATTCCGTCAGAAATAGACAATACATGCACACCAGTGTAAATGAAGTATTAACTTCCAAGTCGATTGGCTATTAATCTGGAGTCTGAAACAACACAACTAACTGACTGGCATTGCTACCTTTTTATTGTAGTTACACAGATAAAACGACTGCATTCCACAGCGGGCAATATTTTATTAATATGGGTAGTTTTATATGAAGCCTGTAAATCAAATATGCCAAACTTGGTCTGCATTCTAAGGATATTGAATATTAAAAGTGTTCATCATTTTGCAATTAGCTTGCCTCTGCTTTTTTCTCTAAAGGTAACATGAAGTATTTGTGAATGTTAGTGTGCTTATTGAACAGTTGATTCAGATGTTCTTTTGCATTTATTGAAATTTATCATATTTATATATCACCTTACAAAAAGCGTTCCATTAGTAAAATGTTAAAATGAAGAGAGAATGGGGGGAGGTGAGAGATGAAATAATTACCTAATGGTTATAATGTACACTATTTGGGTGATATTTATACTAAAACACAGACTTCGTCACTTGATAATATACCCATGCAACCAAACTGGGCTTGTATACCCCAAATCTATACTATGTATTAATTAAATGTAATTATAATTTTGTATATATTTAATCTATTACATATATATTAAAAACCGGTTTAAGTTAGCTGGGAACAATTTTTAAAACTTACTAGTTCTAAACTCTTTTCAAACCCTTCTGTGAGTTCTATTTTTCATCATTTCTAAGGACCGGAAAAAATAAAACAACTGACAAATATTTAATACAAGTTGGTTATATATGACTGGGTGAAGGGGAGGAGAAATACTTTCCTTACCTCTCCTAGGTTCATGGCTGAAGGCCTAATAACAAAAGGGCAGATTATCAAGAGAAAAGCATACACATTTATTTAATGTAAGTTGTACTT